TACATACACCTTAAAAAACCTCTTGTCACAACTTTAACCTACAGACCACTGAAACTTACATGAACCTTTCCCTTCACTTCGTCAATTGGTGAAGTTCATTTCCACTGTTGGCCACTGGCTTCTTCAGATTTGGACTTGTGGAGCTGCGCATTGATAGATTTGCTCTTCAGTGTTTGAATTTTCAGCAGTGCAATTTAAACCACACTAAACTGAACTAAACTGAACTTAAACTAGACCAGAATTATGTTATGCTTCTTTGACACAATCATTATTGTAAAAGCGCTATAGATAAACTGTATGAACATTATTGAAACGACTCTCTATTCTACACTATCAGATCCAATATTTGTTGCACAAAGAAAGTTGAACAAACTCCAGGTTGCAGGGTAAGATTTGGGTTGACATTGCCAAACAAATCCAACCTGTTTAAAATCAGGTTAAGTGGTTTATAATGCTTGGTATTAACCATGTCTGTTAACTGAGTATTTAATCCAGAGTCTGTGATTAATTTTAGACTGCATGTACCTGAGTGTGTGATGGATGCCGATTACAGCCAATCACATGAGACATGCATACCTGTCAACCCTTCGGATTTTGCCGGGATTCTCTAGTATTTCACCATTTAATCCTGCTATCATCCCGTTTAAGCATTTTCTCGTATTTCTCCTGTATTTTTAATCTGTCGATAAAAGGTGTATTTAGAATCCTAGAGTTGATCTCTAATGTGATAATTGTTAAAGCTGTTCAAGAGAATTATGCTTTTGCTTTATATTTGTCTTGAAAGCATGTTGAAATTAATATTAAAACAGCTGCATTCACTTCATTTTCATTAAAGTTATGCGTCTACTATCTCCCTTCCTACGCAGCCTCTGAATTTATCTAGTCATTTATCGATGCTGACTGAAGGACGCGTTTTTTAACTTTCATTCTTCAAGGGACAGCTCTGCTATCAAACAAAACAGTGGATCAAAAAACGAAATTCGCAGCTCTTGACTAAATAACTAGTCTCGTTAGTCAATATTTAACTACAGGAAATGGGGTTTCAGGGTATCCTGTATTTTTACATCCCAATGTTGACAGGTATGGACATGAGAAAGTCAGTTTAGGTCTTTTCTATTGAGTCAGCAATTCACTCATATGTTGAAGATTTTAAAATATCATTTCAGAAATATAATGACTTTAAATTAACGTTGAATGAAATTACTGTGCGGTGGCAAAGTGGGTAGCAATGTCGCTTTACAGCAAGAGGATCACTGGTTCGAGACTTGGCTGGGTCAGTTGCCATTTTTGTGGAGTTTGCATGTTCTTGCTGTGTGGGTTTCCTCATGGGTGCTCAGATTTCCCCCCACAGTCCAAAGACTATAGGTGAATTGGGTGAGCTAAATTGTCCGTAGTTTATGTGTGTGAATGAGAGAGTATGGGTGTTTCCCAGTGATAGGTTGCAGCTGGAAGCGCATAAGACATTAAACATATGCTAGATAGGTTGGCAGTTCATTTCACTTTGGCAACCCCTAATTAACTAAGGGACCAAGCTGAAAAGAAAATGAATGAATGAATATATTTACAAGGGAGAAATAAACACTGCTAATACAGCAAGAGTTAAGGAAGGTAACTTAATAGTTAAGGGAACTTAATATATCAGTGAAAATTAATTAACTGATTCCCCTGCATAAAACACATGCTGGAAAAGTTGGTGGTTCATTCCACAGTCTTGACCTCTATAATAGAGACTAAGTTGAAGGAAAATGAATGAATGTAATACACATAATTATAATTCATATAATACTAAACAAATAAATTATTAGCAACACAAGGTTATTTTAAACTTATCTTGCTTGGTAAAAACCCAAAACTTTGTGGAACAGGTCTCAGGACACTAGTTTGACCTAACAGACCACTATTTAAAATTCCAGTCACTAGTCCAACCTACAAATCACTGTAAATTGCATACATCACTAAAACCTCTAGTCACTAGTTAACCTTAAAAACCACCTTGTCAAAACTCTAGTCTACCATCCTGTAATATACAGTAACCACTTGACACAGGCAATTTCCAATCTGGCATGCATTTACTCAAATCTCCAGTAACTAGTCGTTTAACGCATTGCTCACACAAACACTTATACAACACTCACTGCAACGTTATACATAAATTTTGTGTGTGCACAAACCATATTTTATTATTTAAATACAGACTATCCAGTTCTACTACACACTGATCGCTATCCTGCTCCGAGAGCTACTAATTTGTTCAGCAATATTTTAATGCACACATTAATGTTTCCTCTTTGCTCAGTGTGATGTCGTTTCTGTTTGTGCGCAGGACTTCCCATTGCTTTGGTTGGATGATATAGTGGATGAGCAGTCAAACATCGTGGGCTTCTCAATGTTTAACACCACCCACCCCTTTTACCTGGAGTTTATCAGAAGCCTTAACCTGTCCTGGAGAGAGGGCTGTGACATTAACCCGTATCCCGGACCAGCAGTGAGACCTGCACAAACACTAACAAAGTATAACACACTGACTGCTCATACTAAACTCTGTCTCTGTGTGTATGTTTGTGTGTTCAGCTGTCGTCGGCCCTGCTGTTTGATGCGGTCCATGTGGTAGTGAGTGCAGTGCAGGAACTCAACCGGAGTCAGGAGATTGGCGTCAAACCTCTCAGCTGCACCTCCCCTCAGATCTGGCAACATGGAACCAGCCTCATGAACTACCTGCGCATGGTCAGTCTGTGTGTGTGTGTGTGTACTATCACTGTATATATTCAAAACTTGAAAGTCATCTGGGTCTCAGTGACAAAGAAACTTTCTTTGCCAATAGTCTCATTTTACAAGTCACATAAAATTAAAGAGTTGAGTTTTTCTATTTTTTTTTAATCAATTCAAAGCCATATCACCCTGCAGCCCAAGACCGGTTCACTGAAGCTAAGCAGGTCTGAGCCTGTTTAGTAACTAGATGGGTGACCACATGGGAAAACTAGGTTGCTGTTGAAAGTGGTGTTAGTGAGTTCTCATGATTGTGTAGCGCTTTGGGTGTATGGCCATACACAATAAATGCGCTATATAAAAACACATTAATTAAATACATACATACTTACTATTCAGCTTATCTCTGGGTTTGGCGGGAGCACTTTTAGCTTAGCATAAATCATTGATTTTGATTAGACTACTAGCATCTCACTCGAAAATTTCAAAGAATAACTAAGGAACTTCACTGCTACAATGACATTACACAGCGCATAAAAAAAGAGTCCCCAGCTAACTATGTAACAGCGCTGCAATATCATTGTGCCTGCTGCTGCCATGGTACGGCATCAAAGTTCCTTGATCAATACGCCAAAATAAGAATATAGCTCCTAGATATATAGACCTAAAAAAAATCCATGATGCAACTACAGAATTGTCAAGCTTTAAATAGGAAAATTGACAAAAATTAAATATTATATTTATAAAAAATGTGTATGTGTGTGTGTGTGTGTGTGTGTATATATATATATATATATATATATATATATATATATATATATATATATATATATAATCCTTTATTTATTTAATTATTATTATTTTTTTTGTAAGATGCTAATGGTCTAATCCAATTCAATGTTCTATGCTAAGCTAAGTTAAAAGTGCTCTCGCCAGACCCAGAGATCAGCTGAATTTATTATAATTGGTAAAATTCAACTCTTTATCTCTAGGGTAGGTTGTAAAAAAAAAAAGTCGAGTGTTCCTTTAAATGGATAAGAAGCTCAAAATTCATGCAAAAATTAAAATTCTGTCATTATATATTCAACATTCACATATTTCAAACCTTAATGAGCTTCTCCATTCTGTTAAACATAAAGAAGATACTTTGAAAAATGTTGGAAACCTACAATCATCCACTTCCATAGTATCTGTTTTCTTACTATGCAAAGCAATGGTAACAGGTTTTCAGCTTTCTTCATAATATCTTATTTTTAAAAACTCATTAAGGTTTTTAGCACTCGAGAGAGAAAATGGTGAGTAATTTTTCCTTTTGGGGAACTATCCCTTTAAAGAGCAACAGTTCTGTTAAGATAAGGTAAACAAAACTGTTTCTATTTTCTCCCTCACTGTTCTCATGTTTTGATCAGGTGGAGTATGACGGCTTGACAGGACGAGTTGAGTTCAACAGTAAAGGCCAGAGGACCAATTACACCCTCCACATTCTGGAGAAGCACAGGGGAGGCCACAAAGAGGTTAAACACACAAGCACACAAACGCACGCACACGGGCACGCACGCACACACGAACGCACGCAAGCACGCATGCACACACACGCACGCACACAGAGACAGACTTATTCTGATATCCTAGTGGGGACTCTCATACATACTGTAATTATGTTTCTGCAATACAAACCATATATTTTATCTCTCTACCCCTAAATGCAACCCTCACAGGAAACAATCTGCCTTTTTACATTTTCAAATTACTTCATTCTGTTTGATTTATAAACATTTTTACCCATGGGGACCTTAATTTTGGTCGCCACAGTGACACAAGTCGCTATGAGTCTGTGTGTATAAGTCTGTGTGGGGACCTGAATACATTCAGGTCCCCACTGGTATATAAAACAAATGCACACACACTTATCTCAACAGTACCTCTACCTAATTAGAGCGTAGAGTGAGTTATAAATATGATTTTTTATTAAATCTAACTCTAAATCTGAAAAAAATATTTTATGACAGTAAAACACCAGTTGCACAAATCACAGGTGTTCATCCTCTGTACCTTAGAATGATTTCTAAATTTAGAGCTTTTATGGCTTTTCTCTCCAAAAATTACATGTGAAAAATAAATCTGTCAGTCATTTACAAAAATGTTGCGAATACCAATTTATTTACACAAGCACTTGTCAATGAGGGTGTGTTGTTTTATGCCATATTTTTGTATCATCACCTCAGTTAAACAAAGGTTTCGTTCAGTCTTGACACCTTGTGGACAAACTGAGTAGTGTAGAAATATTTTAAATCCCATGCTGTGCACATTTTATGCTCAGAAATATCAGGCACAATCATACTGAACAAAACTATGTATACACTGAACTTAACAGAAAACTATTTATATTTTATTTAGTTTTAAAATTAGAGATTTTGTGATGTTTAGTTCCAGTTTTTTCACCTTTTTAAAAAAAAGTTTTGATCTTGTTTTGGTATTGACAACATTTGTAATCAGTCTCAGGATTTTATATTAAGACCGATCAAGGCCACAACAGCAGGAGTTTCACGTCTATATCTAATGCAATATCTGATCACCATTACACCATTATTGTGTAAGGTGTAAAACACACTGCACTAACTACTATGCAAGGTTTTATCTAAATGTATGTATGACTGGTGACAGTGTGTTTGTTTTGATGTCTTCATTAGATTGGGATCTGGTACTCTAATAACACTCTCCTGATGAACTCCACCAGCCTGGACATCAATGTCTCTGAGACTCTGGCTAACAAGAGCCTCATCATCACCACCATACTTGTGAGAAACCACTACACTACAGCTCTACCAAACAGTCCACTTACATACACATGATGTTTAACATAAACAGTAAATCAGTTATTACTGCTATGTCACTCTTTATTCAGACCCAAGATTTTGCAAGGATATTAAAAATTACTGATTTTTGATAACCTTTCTCCAAAAGTTTGGCATTATTTGGTATTATTATTATGACATTATTTACTGCTTAGCTTTACAAAACTCTTGTAAAATAATAATAAAAAACTATTCTGGTGGGGCTATACAATGTTCCCTCAATCTAGAAAAAAAATTATATAACAAGAGGGTCAATTTGGAAAAAAAAATCTGACAGAATTAGTCAATTGGTATTTGTCAACTGATATGAATATTTTCTGTAACTTGTTTCAAACCTGGTTGATTTTTCTATTCTGTGGAAAACAGAAGATATACTGAAGCATGTTGGAAACTAGGGCTGCACGATATTGGAAAAACATGACATTGCTATATTTTGTTTTTCTGTAAAATACAGTTAAAGTCAGAATTATTAGCCCCCTTCGAATTTTTTTCTTCTTTTTTAAACATTTCCCAAATGATGTTTAACAGAGCAAAGACATTTTCACAGTTTGTCTGATAATATTTTTTCTTCTGGAAAAAATCTTATTTGTTTAATTTCAACTAGAATAAAAGCAGTTTTTAATTTTTTAACACCATTTTAGGGACAAATTTATTAGCCCCTTTAAGCTATATATTTTTTATAAACTACAGAACAAACCATTGTTATACAATAACTTGCCTAATTACCCTGACCTGCCTAGTTAACCTAATTAACCTAGTTAAACCTTTGAATGTCACTTTAAGCTGTATAGAAGTGTCTTGAAAAATATTTAGTCAAATATTATTTACTGTCATCATGGCAAAGATAAAATAAATCAGTTATTAGAAATGAGTTACTAAAACTATTATGTTTAGAAATATTTTGAAAAAACTATGGCTCCTGGTTAAAAAGAATCCCAATGTATAAACTCAATATTCCAGACCCTGCAATGTGACTATGGCGAATGCACACATATCGATATCAATGCTGAAACGGTATATTGTGCAGCCATATTGGAAACCTGAAACCTTTCATTTCTTTATAATTTGTTTTTATGGATGTCAATGATTACACACTTCCAACATTCTTCAACAAATCTTATTCTGTGTTCAACAACAACAAAACTTGAATTGGCTAGGAACAAGTCAAAGATACGTACATGATGACTGAATTTTCATTTCTGGGTAAACAATCCTTTTAAGAAATCATTAAAATAAGCTGATTTTGGTGAAAACTGTTAAACTGACTGTTGGTAAAAATTAAGTGAGTTTTATTTTTATGGCACTTTTACCATTTATAATGTGTTAAAGCATCTTAACATAGATGAAGAAAATACAATCAAAAGCTATTACAATATTTCAAATTTCAGGCAGGCAGTAAAGTTATGGTATAGATTGTGGAATGCTGGTGTACTGTAGTGCTAGTTAAATTAAACACATTCAGTTCATTTTAATACAAATATCACAGTTGAAAGAATATCCACTAAAGAGCAGCTCCACCAGCCACATACCCACTGTTAGATTATCCTTGTAAAAGTACCAATGATGGAGATGTGTACTTGTATAACTTAAATGAGCAACATGTATGTGTGTTTGTGTGTGCAGGAGAACCCATACGTAATGAGAAAGATTAATTACCAGGAGTTTGAGGGGAACGAGCAGTATGAGGGTTTTTGTGTGGACATGTTAAGAGAGCTATCTGACATCCTCAAGTTCACCTACCGCATCAAACTGGTGGACGATGGTCTGTACGGGGCACCCGAACCCAACGGCTCGTGGACGGGCATGGTGGGAGAGCTGATCAATAGGGTACGCTGTCAAACTCGACCACACGTTTCCTCCTGAATTAAATCACACAGAATGCATCCAGTTCAGTTCAGTTGTGCCTAGAGGAGTTTTTCAAGAATTGAAGTTCTGCTCCTATAACTTATTGCTGTTCTCTATTTGTTCTTTTTTCTCTCCCTTATTATTTGGAGCAGAAAGCTGATTTGGCCGTAGCTGCTTTTACCATCACATCTGAGAGAGAGAAGGTCATCGACTTCTCCAAACCTTTCATGACCCTGGGCATCAGTATTCTCTACAGGGTCCATATAGTAAGTTAAATGGATACAGTGTCGACACAATAGCTTTAGTAAGCATGTTTATGCAGACTAAAAACTAAAAATATCCCAGTCAGAATAAAAAAAAAAAATCCTTCTGTATAAATGACCCTGAACTGTAGAGTAGGTCAAATAAATATACCGTCAAACTTTTGCTGTGAACTGTAAGAATGCAATAGGCTTAAGTTCAGGTTGGAAAAAATCCGCTGAGTTGGGTAAAGCCCTATACTGTATGACCTCTTATGACAGCCACCACAGCAGTAATGCTGAGTCTGTCTGACCTTTTCTCCTAATCACCACCGTATCACTTTTATCATTTCAATTTTATTTTAAGTTTTTTTTTTTTTTTTTTTTACATGGGATATCAATTACAACATTTATTTTATAATTATCCTTCCATGTTGTTGTTAACACTACCCCAAATAAACACTTTCCTCCCTCAACAGCCTCTAACTTCCCATTGAAAAAAACTAAATAAATAAATATAAGTAAATAATAATAATAATTAAAATAAATAAAATAATAATAATAAACAAATAAATAAATAAATGAAAAATCAAGAGAGTTAGCCAGTAGATAATCTAAAAAGGGACACCACAACCTGTCAAAGGTCTTAAAAGAACCGATAAGTGATAGTATTTTTTTTTTCCAATTTAATACAAGTAAACACTTGTTTTATCTATACATCAAAAGAGAGAGGAGAGGTATGTTTCCATTCTAACAGGATGAGACGTCTGACTAGTAAAGTAGTAAAAGCTAAAGCCATTCGGACCATTACTGAAAGGTTAGCATCTACTGCCAACCCAAAAGTGGCCAGAAGTGGATTTGTATCTAGATTTACTATTGAACACATCTTTCAAAGTTTAAATATTTTAGTCCAATAATCAAATATTTTAGGGCATTCCCACAACATGTGGATGAGATCTGCTGGTGATTGCCTGCACCTATTACATGCATCGCTGACAGAGGGCTTCATTTTAGCAAGTCTAGTATTAGTGTACACTGAAAAAAAATTATTCAAAAATGATTCCTTGGATTTACTACATTTAAGTTAAGTGGTTGTAAACAATTTAACTTTGGGCTGAATTTAAGCAAACACATTAAGTTGAACATTACAAAATTTTATTTGTTTGTTCATATTCAACACATATAAAATGTTTGCGCACCAATTTTGCAGAAATCTTTTTTTTTTCAGTGTAGTAAACCCTAAAATCATTCATGTCAATAAAAGTGTAAGTTTCATCATGATGAAAAGTCCTGACAACCTTGTTTATGAACAAGATAGTCAAATGTCTTTGTCATGTTTTCATTATGACTGTTTACTCTGTACATTTTTTCCAATGCAAAAAAAGTCTGATTTTGGTGGCACTTCCTGAAAAAGCTCAATGCAGCACTATATACTATTTGCACAGCCATTTGAAAACTCCAGTAAAGTTAGACATCACTGCATTTAGTGAGGTATCTGAGTAAAGACACTGCATATGTATGTTTCAAATTTTTACTGCATTTGCTCTTTGCAATTCTGATTTGTTCACAGCATCGTGCAAAATAATAAATACACCCTTATTTACAACAAACATAAACTCCCTTTGGGTAAAGCTGTGCACATCTGTAAACAATATTACAGTACATATTAGAACTGAACCAAAAACATACATATGTCTGTAAATCATTTATTAAATTGTTCAATTTAGAAGAAATTTTCAGGGGAAAAAAGATTGAAAGATTTTTATAAAGGTTTTTTTGACAGATTTTGACAACTAGTTCAACATTTTTGTATGTAATGACTCAAATAATGAAATGAGGTCTATTAGTGTTATATGGAATGACTATTCAGCATTCACAAGTTTAGTTAATTTTGACTGACATGACATAAGCAAATGATAATGTTATAAACAGCAAAGTTGTATGAAAGCAACTGAAGCATGTCCAAAAGCATTTGCAATTTGTTGGAAGGAACGAGAAACTGCTACTAGGATGTGCACAAATGACTGATTGTTTTGAGAAATGCATGATGTGTTGTGCAAATCTAAATAATGTTGTGAGAAACGCACCAAAGCCACTGAGAAAAACTGTAATAAGCATAACCTGGATCACACTGCCTCAAACCAAACGAAAAATGTAGAGAAAATGTTGAAATAGCTTTACCTTGTAAACGTTAAACAGCAAGGTTGACTTTTGATGGAAGAGTGTTAAAAATCCACCTTTAGCTGTTCTTTAGCTGCTGTTTTAGTAAATGGCGTCCTCTTGAGGCCGGAGTAAAACATGCTTCTGTAAAGCACTTCTGGATCACAGAGAACCAACAGACGATACTCATTGGTGTAAAACCATGGGGTAAACAAATTAATGTTTTGTGAAATTATATAGGCCTTGTCCTAGATGACAACAGTCCATGTGTAAAATACAGGTAATATAACAGACAGACAGACAGACAGACAGACAGACAGACAGACAGACAGACAGACAGACAGACAGACAGACAGACAGACAGACAGACAGATAGATAGATAGATAGATAGATAGATAGATAGATAGATAGATAGATAGATAGATAGATAGATAGATAGATAGATAGATAGATAGATAGATATTGTACAGTACATACATTTTGTAATGCTGCCTTTATGTAATTAATAGACTGAATATTCATAGTGTAACTAATTCCTCTTGGCTTTTATTTCTACCACCTTCCTTCCTTCAGTTGCGTTCATTTACCTCTCTTTCTGTCTCTCAGGGCAGGAAGCCAGGTTATTTCTCCTTCCTGGATCCTTTCTCACCGGCTGTTTGGCTCTTCATGCTGCTGGCTTACCTCGCTGTCAGCTGTGTGCTTTTTCTTTCTGCGAGGTACACACACACACACACACACACACGCACACACACTCTCTGCATTTAATTTGTCTTGCTAATTTGTCTTGTTTTCCAGTAATTATTTATACGCCTCTTTAAAAAGATAAATATTTATTTGATAAGTAAGACTTCAAAAGACATCAGTATTTATTTCACACATTAACTTAGTTTGTCTTCTTTATTTTTAAAATTCATTAATTTTCCTTCAGCTTAGTCCCTTTTATCAGGGGTTACCACAGCGGAATGAACCGCAAACTATTCCGGCATATGTTTACGCAGTGGATGCCCTTCCAGCTGCAACCCAGTACTGGGAATCACTCATATGCTCTCACATTCACACACACACTCATTCGTGTATGTTTATTTTCATCATTTGACACTCACCATGTGCTTCTTTGTTCTGGCTTCCCACTATGTCATTATGTTCATCACTTCCACCTGTGTCTCACCCCTGTATGTAATCAATTCATCATCTCCTGTGTATTTAAGTCCCTGTATTCAGTTAGTTTATTGTCTGGTATTCTCTTTGTGATGTCTTGTCTGTTGCTTGGTTTCACCTGTGGTGGTCTTCCTTGTTAGTAATTGTTATAAATATACGTACATGCATGCTTTGATAATCTTGCACGCCTGTCCCTTCCTCAAGGCAACCTGGGCCGTTACACATCCATACACATTAATTTAATCAAGCTTATTCAATTCATCTACATATCTTTGGACTGTGGGGACACCAGAGCACCGTGAGGAAACCCAGAAATGCTAACTGGCCCAGCCGGGACTAGAACCAGCAACCTTTTTGCTGTGAAAAACAGTGCTAACCATTGAGCCACTGTGACACCCTATTAATATTTTTCTTTAATAATAAAAAAATCTGTGCAGTTTCCATTAATGCCTAAATCAAACAACAATAATAGATAAATAAATAAATACATTCATGTCTTTCTGTGGGTTTCTCCGGGTGCTTCAGTTTCCCCCACAGTCCAAAGACTTGCAGTATAGGTGAATTGGATAAACTAAATTAGATGTAGTAAATGAGTTTGTGTGTGTGTATGAGTGTGGATGCATGTTTCCCAGCACTGGGTTGCAGCTGGAAGGACATCCGCTACATAAAACATATGCCGGAATAGTTTAGAATCAGAATCGGTTTTATTGTTTTACACACACAAGGAATTTGTTTTGGCTACAGAAGCTGCCAGTGTACATAAATGCCAAGTGACAACACCAAAATAAATATGAGAAAAGACAACAAACATTAGTCAGTAGTGCAATTACGCAGAAGAGCTCTGGATGATGAATTGTATGTAAAGATTGTTTTAAAGAAAGTTATAAGTTGCTATGTACATTGTTGGTTCATTCCACTGTGGCGACCTCAGGAATAGAGACTAATCCGAAGGGAAATGACTGAATGAATGAAGGATTGAAAAATACAATTTAATTTAAAAAGTAAACAAATACACAGAGAATGAAGTCAAATATTTAATGGTTAATTTTATTTTTTCCATTTGAATGGCACACATTTCATTTTGCCGCTGTTATTTGCTTGTTTTGTGCGTTAATGTAGTTGTTGTGTTGATTTTTTTTTCTATGATTTAGTTTAGTGGTTCTCAAACTTTTTTCACCAAGTACCACCTCAGAAAAATAATAGACTCTCCAAGTAGCACCATAATAATCTGTATTGAAGTACAATAACATAGTAGGCCTATTAGGAATATTTATTGCCAGCCACTTTAAACATTATAAATAGTTTGAATGTAAACACTGCACTGTGCTTACAGATAAAAAAAATTAACAAAACTTCAAAGTCTAAATAAAAATATGCTTTTAAAAGTTAATTTAAAATAGTGCTGTTCTTAAAAAGTAAAGAGAAAACTGCTGTATTTAAATGTAAAGTATTATACAGTAGTAGCCTATTCATCAAAACCTGGAAACGTTCCTTGGACCTTGTAAATATGCTGTGTCATCATATTAATTTACAATCTTCTTGATAATTTTTTAAATATACAAATAATTCATATATACATGCAACATATATCTTTGAAATCCAAACATTAACTTGTGTTTTAAATATATGAATTGAATTTAAATACTTAAATTAGAAATTAGATCTGCTTACTGCACGTTAGAGTAGGCTTTGTGTGTCAGAAAAGCAAGTGATTAAAACCATACCTGTCGACATAGGGATATACGGTACGCCCCCAACAACCGTTACAAATATGGAGAGGAAATTAGCCTCAAATGTTAGAATACATAACAAACATTAGAAAATCTAAAATAAAATAAAAGGTTTAGCCGATTAAAATCAATTTACTGATCATATCGGTGTTATATGCATCAAAGTGTTAAAAGTATGTTCATTATTTTAATTTAATTATTCAGTGGTTCCTCCACCTACCACTTGAAGGAAGCCTGCGTACCACTAGTAGTACATGTACCACAGTTTGAGAACCACTGATTTAGTTAATAACATGTAATATATTTAAAACAATATACATACAGAACTAAATATAATATTAAAGTTTAGCAAATAATTATGTTTGCTTTTTATCTAATTTTAGTTTTAGCTATAATTGCAGCATTTTATAATATATTGAAGATACAAATGTTTATTGCAAAGGGCAAATTTAAACAATATTAATACTTTTTAAGACAACTAAATATAATCTTTAAGTTTAGTTTGTTTTAAGCAAGTATTGCAGTCTATAATCTACATATAATATAATCAATGTACTCATTTATTTATTTATTTTGTTATATTGTAGAACTAGTTTAGCAAAAACATTTTTTTTTTTTAACGTTTGCGTGTCTTTTTTTTCAGGTTAAGCCCTTATGAATGGTACAACCCTCATCCGTGTCTGCGAGAGCGCAGAGACCTGCTGGAGAATCAGTACACACTAGGAAACAGCCTGTGGTTTCCTGTGGGGGGCTTCATGCAGCAGGGCTCTGAGATCATGCCCAGAGCCCTGTCCACGCGCTGCGTCAGCGGGGTCTGGTGAGTCCCAGCACTTTAACTCAATCAATGGACACATTACACAGCAGAGCTAAAGGCTCTCTGCTCTCTGCTCCACCGTTTATGCCCTTTCTCTCTTCTTTAGGTGGGCATTCACTCTCATAATAATCTCCTCATACACTGCGAATCTTGCTGCGTTTCTGACCGTGCAGAGAATGGAAGTGCCAATCGAATCACCAGATGACCTCGCCGATCAAACCAATATCCAATATGGCACCATTCATGGAGGAAGCACCATGACCTTTTTTATGGTATAAATTATATTATAGTAGCATATGTGTGCTTGTAAATTAATCAGTACATCTGTATTCGCACAGAATACATGCTGTGTTGTGCATATGAATGCTCACATTTTAAAAACATCTGTCTGGAACAGATAGTTAAATTGTTTGTTTTATTTATTTACTTATTTTGTTTAGTGTTTAGTTTAGTATTTATTTGTTTGCTTTATTTATTTATTTATTTATTTATTTTATTTAGTTTTTTGTTTAGTATTTGTTTGTTTGCTTATTTATTTGTTTGTTTATTTTGTTTAATTTTTAGTTCAGTATTTATTTGTTTGCTTATTTATTATTTTGTAAAAAATTTTGTTTAGTATTTGTTTGCTCAATTAATTATTTATTTTGTTTAGTTTTAGTTCCATATTTATTTGTTTGCTTATTTTTTATTTGTTTGCTTATTTATTTTTTTATTTATTTGTTTGTTTATTAATTTATTTTCAGATTTAGTTTAGTATTTGTTTGCTTATTTATTTATTTGTTATATTTATTTAGTTCAGTATTTATTTGTTTGCTTATTTATTCATTCATTCATTTTCTTTTCGGCTTAGTCCCTTTATTAATCTGGAGTCGCCACAGCGGAAAGAACCGCCAACTTATCCAGCATATGTTTCATGCAGCGGATGCCCTTCCAGCTACAACCCAATCACTGGGCAACATCCATGCACACTTATTCACACACATACACTACAGAAAATTTAGCTTACCCAATTCACCTATAGCGCATGTGTTTGGACTTGTGGTGGAAACTGGAGCACCCAGAGCTCCCACGCGATCACGGGGAGAACATGCATACTCCACACAGAAACTGTGCCACCGCATCACCCTTATTTATTTATTTATTCATTATTTTGTTTAATTTTTATTTTAGTATTTGTTTGCTTATTTATTTATTTTTTCTTTAGTTTTTAGTTTAGTATTTGTTTGCTTTATTTATTTGTTCTGTTTAGTTTATTTTTCTGTTTAGTATTTATTTGTTTGCATATTTATTTGTTTATCTTGTTTTGTTTAGTATTTGTTTGCTTTTTGGTCCCACTTTATATGAAGTGTCCTTAACTACTATGTACTTACATCAAAAAAATAAATACAATGTACTTACTGTGTTTATGATGTATTTCAGAACACTTGTGGTGCTTTTAAGTTGGGATAGAGGTTGGGTTATGGATAGGTTTGGTGGCATGGGTAGGTTTAAGGGTGGGTTAAGGTGTAAGGGATGGTCAACAGTGTATTTACAAATGTAATTACAAAAGTTAATTACAGATGTAATTACATACATGTATTTAATCAAGCATAAGTACACAGTAAATATATGTATTTACACAATAAGTACATTGTAACAAACTATTAATTCTTATGTACGTACATATTAGTTAAGGCCACTTAATATAAAGTGGGACCGCTTTTTTATCTATTTATTTATTTTGTTTAGTTTTAGTTTAGTATTTAATTGTTTGCTTATTTATTTATTTGTTTTTATGTTTTGTTTAGTATTTATTTGTTTGCTTATTTATTTATTTTGTTTTGTTTGGTATTTGTTTGCTTATTTATTTATTTATTTATTTAGTTTAGCTTTTAGTTTAGTATTTATTTGTTTGCTTTATTTATCTGTTTGTTTGTTCATTTATTGTGGAGCTTAATCATATAGTTGGAAGTTTTCTTAAATATGTACTTTGGTGTTACACATGTTGATATGAAATATTGATATTCAGCCTCAGGAGGTTTCACAAAAAATTATATAATTTTTTTTTATTCAGTCCTGTTTCCAACATTTAAAACATTTTTGAAGTCATAATAAAGCAAATTATGAGGCTAAATAATAATAAAAAAAAACAATACCATTACACAATGCTGAACATTATATTTAATAATTGCGTTTATGAAACGTATCTAGTTGCAACAAAACATGTGATTTATGCCTCAAAAAGCTTTAAACATCACTTTACTGAACATTTTTTTATTATTCTTTTAAGATGTTCAGGCTTGTATTGTAGCATATTGTTAAAGTGCCAGCAGGCATATATTTGCATATGTTTGGATGTGTTTTGTATCTTTTGTTCATTTTGTTGTTGGCTTTGCTTGAAAAATACCCTTGGCTTACTGACTGTATTTTATTTATCAGGCTTTTGTCTACTCAAGTGTTTTTACCATCTGCGTGTGTTATTGTTTCCTTTTGGCCGCTTATTGTGCTTGTCAAATTACATTAAAATGTTTGCATTGATGATGCATCTCTTTTTTTTTTCTCAGAACTCCCGGTATCAAACGTATCAGCGCATGTGGAACTACATGTATTCAAAGCAGCCCAGTGTCTTCGTTAAGAGCACAGAGGAGGGCATCGCACGAGTCGTGAACTCCAAATATGCCTTTCTCCTGGAGAGCACCATGAATGAGTACCACCGCAGCCTCAACTGCAACCTCACCCAAATCGGAGGACTGCTGGACACCAAGGGTTACGGCATTGGCATGCCTCTGGGTGAGAGTAACCATACAAAATGTTGTCAGCTCATCCATTCATTTGTAAGAAATGGAAGAAAAACATGCTTATTGACACATGCTTATTTGAAACCTAAAAAGATGTAAAGATAGGACATAAAAATTGGCTGAAAACCAGGCGTATTAAAAACAAAAACACTATTGAAAGCAAAAAGTCAACACATTTACTCATACAAGAAAAAATACTGAAGGGTTAGTTCACTCAGACAGCAAAAACGCTTTTCTAATCATTATTACATACTAAGGTCTTTAACAACCCAAATGTATATATCAAACATGGATGGATCTCTGAAAACTTTTTTTTGTTGTGTTTCCCAAACGCATTGTAAACCTAAGTAGATCGTAAAAACAATTGTGCCATTGATTTTAATGTTATGGCCTGTTCCCCAAAAGCATCGTAAGTTAAGTAGCACTTGAAAATCTTGAAGATCTTCGAGTAGTCTGGAGTAATTGTTAAATCCCTACATGCATCATAAGAAGACAAATGTATGTGTACAATCGGTAGATTACATCTCAGTCTTTATTCAAGAGCAGTCCCATACAGAAATCTATTATATGGCCTTATATATTTGTAAATATTTGGAATTTGTAAATAGCCATGTTTGCCATATTTTGAATTATATTTTGAATTGGATATATGGCAAACATTTGATATAATTTATGAATGTAAATATAAACTTGAATATCATTAATATAATTAGCATAAATTGGCAAATATCAAATATGGTGTGTGATTATAATTAAAACATTTATACATTATTGTACGCTTTATTATTCTTTTTTTAAACTAATTAACAAATTAAAACAATAAAAAGGGACGAAAACAAACTAACAAAAATAGAAAATTTTATCTAAATTTAATGAGCGAACAAAAATTAATAAAATAAATAAAATGGAATGAAATATACTTGAAAGACTGGAAAAAATTGGATTGCGTTTCCATTCCCAGCTGTCTCTTTTCTTGATAGCTACTGAATGACATACTGTATGCCTTGAAAGTTATTTGCTTGCGAAGTCAGCAGCACTTGTGTTACAAATCAACATTTTTTAGTCAATCTAGCTTCACCCTTTGCGCACCAAACCACTGTGCTCAGTACCTCAACAAAAGGCTAATACAAAAAAGTGATACGGTATATTTAATTATTTTGGCTCCACTGAACTTCTGACGATGGAAACAAAAGTAATTCTGAAAATGTGCTATAATTGCTGCAACAGTAAAAATCCTCCTAATATTTTACATAATATAATATTATAGTTACAAAACATGAAAAATGTATTTGACCACCAAAATTCTAAATATATTTTTTAGCTCAAAAGTGTTTGAGCAGATGCTTTTTTCATCACTGCTATCGTCAAAGCTCAATTCATCAGTACTTTCAACAAAGTCCAGTACTTTTCTGCAGTATTTAATTAATAATTGTATAATGTAATGTATTAGAGACACTAATGTTATTATCTACTAGATGGGGGGGGGGGGGGGGGGGGGGATGGGGGGCGTTTAAAGGATAATACGTTTTTGATTCCCTTTGCTTATAAAGCTTCTGACCACATTACAGATGTTTAATGCATGCAATGAAGAAGAAAAGATATTTAAGACTGCATTGTTTGTTTTAAATGTGTAACCCTGTCAGACATGTTTTTTTTTTGCATCATTGGCTCTTGCTCATGATAAAGAAGGCTTGATGTTTGTTATTGTCTTTTCCAGGTTCTCCTTTCAGAGATGAGCTCAGTCTGGCAGTGCTGCAGTTGCAGGAGAATAACAGGTTGGAGATCCTGAAGAGAAGATGGTGGGAGGGAGGAAAGTGTCCCAAAGAGGAAGACCACCGAGCCAAAGGCAAGAACTACACCACAGTAATCTCCTCCAATAATAGGCTCATTTCAGTTTCAGTCGCATCATTCTCGCTCGAGGAAATGTCTACAATAAAGCTGTACGGGTCGCTCACATATCATATGAAAAGCACTTCTCACAAAACAGAAGCTTTACACACATAAATACTTGTGTATATATGTTTATTACTAACATTTCTATGAAGAGGATTTTATTAGAACTGCAGATCAATGACAGCGCGAAATAGCCTACTGTAACGTCTGCAATTATATAAAAAATAAATAAATAAATGAACATATTTGAACACATACAGATCCTTACAGTCTCCAATATATTACCAACTACAGAAAAACTACACACACCATACATTTTGTCTTTAATTAGGTTAAAAACAACACAAAATATAGCCTACAGTCAGTGAAAACCTCTTATCTGTGTCTGTAATCTTCAACAGCACGTGCAGCCTCTGTTTGAAAAAAAAGATTTGTCATCAATCCGTTGTAAGAGCAACAACTAATAACTTGACTTCTAGTTGATCATTTAGAAAAGATAATCAGGAGGCGTTGAAGATTAATTTTAAAAAAACCTTGATTAACTCTGGGAGTGGAAGAATGACACAATGGCTGAAGTATTTCTTTTGGGTAATGTTATGTTTTAAAACTATTCTAGTCACACAAGGCTTATATAGATTTTGTTGTTTTATGAATGGCCACTGGAATCTTCCGAAAATCTTCGACAAAAGATTGATATGACGTCGGCTCCAGTGGTTTAGTGCGTCGACACATTCCTGCCTCATGGTCCTGTGCCGATTTTTCCCCTCTCTCTGCTCCCCATGCCTTGCTGTCAATAATCTCTACTGTCAAGCATTAAAGGTGTATGACCCCCCCCCCCCCCCCCCCCCCCCAGTTTTTCAGTTTTATAGGGGAGCTTTTACAGCACAGATAATGTAGATTTTTATTTCGTTTAACAACAAAACATCAGTAAATATCGCTATTCGGCCTAGCCTGCTTTACTGAGGTGAAGTGAGTTTTATACACACATTGTTTCATTTTTAAACAATGAGAGCCTGTGACACGCTCCCATATTGTTTACCGCTACACTGAATATTCAATCTGAAATAGCATGTAAGTATGGCTTAGAAATAAGTGTAATTCTTGCTCCCCGCCGGCCAACCACTAAGCATACAGTAGTCGCTTTTGGAACAAGCACATGAGAGAGTGAGACCAGCGATCCTTGCATGCATGAAATATTGCACATTATCACATGTTTTGCTTGCTACACAACTGAAAACGTGCTAGATATAATACAGTTTTTTTTGTTCAGAATTATAGTATTATAAACATTATAAAGTTTTCTTGCAAATCACATGATTTAGTGAGATGTCATCTTTAATGTGCACGTTCTTAATTTCAGAAGGCATGGCTTTGGACGGCAGGGGAGGGACTGTGTTTTCAAAGCTATTATTCTAACTAATGCAATTTTGCCAGATCAACTACTGCACCTTTAAGTTTATCAAGGAAGAATCATGATCTCCATTTTAACCCCTAAAAAACTGATTTTAAATTAATACAAAAGTGCACATACTTTTAGATGTTAATTGCTTCTTTAAGGGTCCTGACACCCCCCACTTTCAGTTCAGGTCGTCCTCAGAATTTTTTCAAAAGATGCATCATAGTGGGCGCGGAGCTCCGCGAACAAAAGGCAGGAGTGGGCATGGCCAGCAGAGCAGGGGAGAAGGAGGGGAGCTAGCAACTGTTGTCAGTCGAATCACAAAATGAGACACAAACCGTGAGGAGATGCATGATTTTATAATTTACAAAATTAAAATGCAAAGAAATAAACAGCAATTTAATGCCCTGCTACATTTGTAATTTCATACACATAACCACAATTTATATAATTATAAAGATAATCATGTTCATATAAACACTAAATGAGGACTTTTCCCTCAATCCTCGGGTCTGAATGCAGACTCAGTGCAGCAGGTCACTGCCCTGTCTATTTTAACCATTAGCCCTGCTGGTAATCTGGAGGATTTAGGCGAACACAGCAGCACGGCGATGTGTCTAAATGTGAACGAACTCCTGATAAAAGACAACGACCGCCATTCTCCTATACTCGTACTGCTCTTCCGACAAAAATGCTTGCTGGACACACACAACTTTGCTGTATTGGCCCTGACAGGATCGCGGGGAAAAACATGCAACAAACCCTGTGGATCATGGAAAGAAACACATACGACCCTTCATGAACGACTAAATACTAAGTGCCGTGGGTCCGCGGACGCTTCTCACAAAATCATCAACGTAGGATTTCACAGCTGAGCTTGGCACTGGCAGCCAGGTCTGCTTTGTCTTTAGAAAGAATACTTAAGAAGCCGGCTCTTCTCATAGGATAAGAAAACTCCACTATGAATAATAATGAGAAACCGACGCATCATCTTTGCACCTGCAGTTCTGCGCTACGTCGCCGATTTTGATCCTGCCCCAAAAATCAAACTATGAAACTAAATGAAAAATGAAAATGAAACTAGCTGACAAAAGCTCAAAATTATCCAGTTCCTCCCACAATTAAAGCTAACAGGTGCTAACATTGTCCTAACTGATGCTCAACACACACAAATCTGTTAAAATCTCAAAAAAGTACTTGAAACCTTAATTAACACATTTTTGCGAAAACACATTTGACTTGTTTTGCCTGTAGCTCTTGATTACCCTGTGCACATTTTGTCACATGTTTATAACTTATCTGTTTATAGTGAACAACTTGAAAAGTGTTTAATTGACTGTTGCAGGTCTTGGGATGGAGAACATTGGCGGTATATTTGTGGTGTTGATCTGTGGCCTGATTATTGCTGTGTTTGTGGCTGTGATGGAGTTTGTGTGGTCCACGCGTCGATCAGCAGAAACAGACGAGGTACGGCCTCTCTCCTGCGACCGCCAATATCACAGTCACACTACAGTAGGTTACTAAAGCAACCCGCCGGCTCCTCGCGTTAGTGTGTCCTGTAGTGAAGTCTGTGGTTGTGTTTCGCTGTGCATGTCTACGTGTTTATGTGTATATTTATACTTGTATCTAAAATTTTAAACAAGGTTTTGAAAGTGGTCTCTTATGCTGACTTTGGCTTTATTTATATGATTAAAAATAAAAAAGTTAACTAGCATACTGTACATATATCATAAATATTATTATCATTTGATATGAGTGCTTTCTATTTCTGTACATTTTCAATCATTTGTTCCTTTGGCACTATTAGTTTTCAGCAGCTGTTACTCCAGTCTTCAGCGTCACATAATCCTTCAGAAATCAGTCTAATGTGCATATTAATTCATGCTTAACTAATGTACAGATAATCATGAGTTAATGTCTTGAATGATGGTGGGCTTAGTAGGTCAAAGCTATGCGTTACGATTCCCAGTTGTGCACTTCATTTAATCAGCAGCTAATGATTTGCAAAGATATCATTATGTTATGACTTGTTGAGGCGTATGACTTTTTAATAAATAGCAATTAATGCATTACTTATGCTGGACTCACTGCAGGAGTTTTAGGCTTATTTCACACAGATCATCTGCTAATGTGAAGCATTAACACTCACTTATGATTTCTGTGAATGTGTTGAGCATAAATTAATGCATAATAAAACTTCTATAATTTATGAAGGCATTATTATTTAACATTGTAATCAATGCATCAGTGTATCATGGTTTTTCACAAATAATTAAGCAGCACGCTAACTCACTATCCTTTGGCATAGTCCTTGATGTATCGGGGGTCATCATAATGGAGTGAATCGCCAATTACTCTGGCATGTTTTATGGGTAGGATGCCCTTCTAGCACTAACCCAGCACTGGGAAACACCCATACACACTTTCATTCACATACATATTCATTCACTATGGCCAATTTAGGTTACTCAATTCACCTATAGCGCATTCTTTTAGAATGTAGGGGGAAAAGGGAACACCTAAAGGAAACCCACATAAACATGGGGAGAATATGCAAACTACCCAGAAACGCTTCCTGGAAAGACTCAAAACAGTGAACTTATTGCTGTGAGGCAACAGTGCTAACCACTGAGTCACCTTGCTGTCCTTGAGCAGCACAATTGTTTACAAATTGATAACACTGTTAAATGTTTTGTGAGCAGCAAATTAGCCTAATATTTCCCAGTACTGGGTTGCAGCTGGAAGGGCATCCGCTGTGTAAAACATATGCTGGATAAGTTGTCGGTTCATTCCACTGTGGCAACCCTTTGATGAATAAAAGGACTTAGTCAAAGGAAAATTAATGAATCAAATTATCCTAATATAATGATTTTTGAAAGGTCATGTGAAAGCCAAGACTGGAGTAACAACTGCTAAACATATTCAGGGCTACATCACAGGAGTAATTGCGTTTTAAAATAAATATAAATAGAACACAGCTATTTTACATTTGCAATAATAATTTACATTATTTTTGTCACTAAAACTGATAATTAGAAATAAAAGATTATTAATTAGAACATTTGAAGGGACCATATGACACTGAAGAAATTATGCCAAAAATATTCAGCTTTAGATAACCTGTACTATTAACTAGGTTACTGTTAATAATGATGTTTTACAACATTCATGTTTTTAATATATTTTTGGTGAATAAATCCAGCAATAATAACTATAAGTTCTGTCATGACAACTCTCTAAGATATTTTGTATGCTAATGAATATGTTGCAATGTTCATGTATTTGGTTTTGGTTGCATTGATCTGCTATGCTGCTGCTGCTGCTTCAATTATTAGGGCAGTATATTCACAGACATGCAGTCAGACAATATAACACACTGCTGCTGCAACCATAATATAAATGTAACCCACCAAACAAGGCAAGGCAGGAAAATATGAAAAAAAAAAAAACAATCAAATGAAACTAATGAATAAACAACTAATAAAAAACATTAGTAACTTACATTTATCAACTGTTGACTGAAATAGATATGAAATAACTATCCCTCAAAACGAGCAGATATACAGTATCCCCAAGACATGGGCTATGGGAACGTATGTTATTGTGCACTCACCTATATGTGCCTGGGCTACCTTGAGGAATGGCTTAACACTAGAGGAATAGGCTATGTGTGAGCCTTGGCTACCTTTGTGAACTGATCATCGGCTTAGCACTAGTGAACAAGAAAATATGAGCCTTGGCTATCTTGCCAACTGGCTTAGCATTAAAACACACACAGTCCTTGTTACAAAATATCACATAGCATGCGGGTAGAAATAAATTATTATCCCAACAGCCACCTGAATTATTATAAATGAAAACTATGATTAAATCATTGCCTTATTGATATTGTGATAACAAACAGTATTGACAGTTTACAAAGTAACTATATAATCTTTTTAAATTAAAATATATTCTCAGAGAGAGCACACACACTATTCAGTGCTTCACATCTTATCAGTGAGGTAAAATTACATCATTATCTCTGCTTCTTATCTGCCTTCATTGGTGAGTAGCTTCCATCTCTGCACCACTTACTCCCAACGCATCTGGCATTATTCGCTGTGAAACAAATTCTTTATATGGCACGTGTTTTAATTATTATTTTTTTTAATCTTTTACTGTAACACCAGTTTTAAAGGATTTTGCTATTTCAAACAAGTCTTCTTTATGGCAGTGATCAAACTGTTCTGTGCTTGGAGAAAGTGCAGGGGCTGTCAAATTAAACTCCATGCTAACATGTATTTGCTACTTCCTCCCAACCCAAAAAGAAAGCAGCCAAACAAAGAATAAATTAAAATGACTTGCACTCTTTGCATCCACAAAAAGGGTTCATGAGCCAATAATATGTTTTTGATGGGAAACAAAACAAAGGAGGAGCCTCCGCATTATGTTACGACCCTGGTCTAGGGTGAAAAGGAAGTAACAGAAAAGATACAATGTGACAAATAAAATTTGTTGTAGGAAGCCCTTGGAGTTGGGACAATTTATTTATAACCAAATTATAAAATAAAGCCAATACCTCAGAGAGGTGCCACATAAAATAATTAAAACTAAACACCCAAATGAAACTAAATAAACCTAACCTTTCAGTGTACATCCCTAAATAAAGATATAAAAACAGGAGAATATTTATTCATTAATTTTCTTTTTGGCTCAGTCCCTTTATTAATCAGGGGTCACCACAGAGGAATGAACCACCAATTTATCCAGCATATGTTTTACATAGCGGAGGCCCTTCCAGCCGCGACCCAACACTGGGAAACATCCATACATTCCTGCATCACAGGAGAAATGATTTTACAAAAGAAAAGTGTGGTGTCCAAGTCTTATTGCACAACTAGAATTATCACTTGCAACTTATTTACTCAAACACAACACTTACCACACCAAGCTCTACACCTGTTTCACTCTTGAAAGATGCCCCAGGTCACTGCAGCCAATCCCTGGGCACATCGCTTGTGTAATTATTTTTCAAGACACTTCTATACAGCTTAAAGTAACATTTAAAGGCTTGACTAGGGTAATTAGGTTAACTAGGCAGGTTAGGGTAATTAGGCAAGTCATTGTATAACATGGTTTGTTCTGTAGACTGTGTAAAATATAGCTTGTTCTGTCTAAAATATAGCTTAAAGGGGCTAATCATTTGGACCTTAAAATGGTATTTAAACTGATTTCATTCTAGCTTAAATAAAAGAAAAGTAAGACTTTCTCCAGAAGAAAAAAAATATTATCAGACATTCTGGGAAAAATTCATTGCTCTGTTAAAAATCATTTGGAAAGTATTTTAAAAAGCCAAAAAAGGGCTTCTTACTTCAAATGTAGGTGTTAATGATTGCATTATACTTTGTGAAATTACACACACCCAGGCACAACAGTAAGAAACATGAATGGTTGTTGACACCCACAAAATTAAATCCAACATATGACTAGACCCTAGAGATTAAATGAACCAAACAATGCAATGAGGAGCATAAACTTTAATAATGATTCAGTCAACATGGTTCAAAGCAGGGTTATCGCTAGACTGGAGCATGTGCCACAGTATAAATCTGCTGAGCTCCAGTAAAAGCTTTGGGTTACGATTTACTTTATATGCAAGTGTAATTATTGAGAGTGGTAATCCCAGAATAAAGACGTTTTTTTTCTATGTACAACTGAACCAATGCTTACGAAATTTAGGTGACAGCAACCAATCACATGAGGCATAGGGTTAATGTAGGAGCAGATTAGGCATGACCTATCAATATTCATTTGCTCTGTTTCATGACAGAACTTTGTCTAGATTTTAAAAAATCATAGTATTTTTATATCTAAAAATTATACTGTATATAGTAAACAACCTGACAATGGAATGGTATCTTTTTAAATGATACATTCTAAACTGAAAACCCTAATAAGTTTACTGGATGAAATTAATTGAGTAAACTTGTTGCCTCAGTTTAATAGAGAAATGGAATCTCCCAAAACTTGCATATTTAAGTTTATTTAACTTGCCGCTTTAGTAGATTATACTTAAAATGTTCAGTTCAGTGTGTGTGTGTCTGTATGTGTAATTCTATACTATGTGAAAAATGTTTAAAAGAAAAATAAGTAGCCATTTATTTCCATTATGGTGAATAATTATACCTGAAGCCTTGTTTTCTGATTAAAAAAGACCTTGCACTAAAAGGCTGCACATATTAGAATTTTTCTGTCAAGACTACAATAAAAACAACCATTTTTTCTAAAGAATTAAGTATGATTTTGAGCTTACTATACTTGAAATCTTAAGTTTATGCATTTTCATTGACAGGACCAAAATGGTAAATTTTAAGTAATGTTCATTCAACTTTACTTGATTGTTTAAGAGAGTTTAGAGTTTACATAAGAGTTTACAGTCTAGGTACATATCAGTACTAAAAATTTCTAAATATACACTGTACTTAGTACCTAATATGTACCTTAAGTTACCAATATAGACCACTTAAGTACTAACCTGTACCTTTTAAAAAGGTACTGCCCCCATGACAGCATTTGTGCCTTTATTTCTAAGGGTGTACCAATTAAACGTGCAGTACTTCTTTTGTGTATTCTTCTCTGCAATATATAATCTTTCTTTTCAAGCATTTAATACTTTTTTCTAAATGTCCAGGTGTCCGTATGTCAGGAGATGTTGACAGAATTTCGTAACGCCGTCTCCTGCAAGAAAAGCTCTCGTCTACGCCGCCGCCGGCCTCTGTCCAGCTCTCTGGCCCTCCGGCATCCCACCCGCATCACTTTGGGGGCTCCACGACCCCTGCGCCTTGTGAGAGAGATGCGCCTTAGCAACGGAAAGCTCTACAGTGGCACTGGACCCCTCACAGGAGGTTCAGGGCCTGGAGGAGGCCCCACAGACATGGGTCCTGGCCCCCAACGGCTCCTGGAGGATCCATTAGGAGCCAACAGCACGCCTGCAGTGGCCCTGGGACCCCCCGCAGTGACAGTGCCTCTGCCGCGGGGTTGCACTCACGTGCGCATCTGCCAGGAGTGCAGGCGGATTCAGAGTCTCCGCACAACTTCATGCACACGAATCCCTCCCTCCTCCGCCCCCCTGCCCCGCCTCGCTCCACCCCCTCCACACTCATCCTCGAATACAGACAGCGAAGGGGGCGGCGGCCTAAGCCCGTGCCGAATAGGACACTCCCCTCCGGCTAAAGGCTGCTCTTTACCACCACCTCAGTCTAGCAACAACACAGACCTAATGGGGGAGCAAAAATGAGAACAGACAAACTAACAAACACAAGTATGACACATTTTTGCAATATTCGCCTCCATGTTCGAAATCACAGACAAATGCGCTTTCCATCTTTTCCTTGGTACAAAAAATGGATCCTTTTCTTTTGGATAGCCATGTGTCATTTCAATGATTCTTTTGTACTACTGAATGATGTACTATAACACTGACTGTGTAAGAAATGATTGTACGCCTCAGACACAAGGGTGCAGATGTTAAATGTGATTCTGATCAGGCAGCACACAGACGTCTGACAGATTCTCCTTCCCTTTCCTGACTGAAATCTCTCTCTGTTTGGATAGAGGTCACACACTGGAAGTAGCACAGCGGAGACGCTCTCGTTTGGACGTCCAGATCAGAGCTCGAATGCCACAGAATGAGAGCACACAACATTCGTGGAGGACAATGATGCAAACTTGTTAATGAAAAAAAAAGATATTCTAAAAACAGATATTCTTACTTTTCTGTACTATACTTATTTTTAAATTCACTGTCTGTGTAATTTAATTCTGGGGTTGTGTTGTCTGAATTGGAAATTAAAAATAGAGATACTTTATTGATACTGAGGAGATCAACTCTGACTGAATATGTATGGGTTTTTTTGGGAAACGAGGAGCTGTGTTCATTAAAACGTGGACTTTGATCTGTCTGCTAGAACTTGTGAGTCTGTAAATAGTTCTGTAAAACAAACATTCCACATACCTCAGCCTCACATTTTCACACGTTCAAACTCATCTCACCACAGGTCAGTGTGTTAGAGAAGAGAAGAAAAAATCAGACATCTGATGTTGTGGTTCTGCTTTCATATATCTCAACACACAATGATAAAATGAGAAAGAAATAAGAGAAAAACACAGATGCTTCAAAATAATGTCTAACCCACTTCTGATTTATTTATTTTTTTAAATATATTTCTATAAATATGTGTATAAAATTATAATTGTTAAACTTACAGTTGAATAAATGTATCAAGAGGACTATTAGAACTATTAGAAATGAACATATTATATATATATATATATATATATATATATATATATATATATATATACATACATACATACATACATACAGTTGAAGTCTATTATTAGCCCTCCTGAGTTATTAGCCCCCGTAAATTTTTTTCCCCAATTTCTGTTTAACGCAGAGATTTTTTTCAACACATTTCTAAGCATAATAGTTTTAGTAACTCATTTCTAATGACTGATTTATTTTTTCTTTGCCATGAAGACAGTAAATAAAATCTAACTAGATGTTTTTCAAGACACTTCTATACAGCTTAAAGTGACATTTAAAGGCTTAACTAGGTTAATTAGCTTAACTAGGCAGGTGAGGTTAATTAGGCAAGTTATTGTATGATGATGATTCTGTAGAATATCGGAAAGAAAAATTGCTTAAAGGGGCTAATTATTTTGACCTTAAAATAATGTTTAAAAAATTAAAAACAACTTTTATTCTAGCCAAAATAAAACAAATAAGACTTTCTCCAGAAGACAAAATATTATCAGACACTCTGATAACTCTGCAAATTTCCTTGCTCTGTTAAATATCATTTAGAAAATATTTAAAAAAGAAAAACAATCAAAGGGGGGCTAATAATTCTGGCTTCATATATATATATATATATATATATATATATATATATATATATATATATATATATATAGCCTAACTACCCTAACCTGCCTAGTTAACCTAATTAACTATATATATATATATATATATATATAGTATATACACACACACACACACACATACATAATTGTAGTCTTTAATAACATAAAATTATTATAATATTATTTTTGATATTATTATGTTATCAATTTTTATATTCTTTCTTTGTATAACTTTAACCAGTCTTGCTTTGTACAGACTGAATTGTGTTTTCTTCTTACTGACTACAATTTCTAAATCTAATTCAAATCTTACTGTTAAATGTTAACCAAAGCGCACAAAAAGATCAAAATAAAGTGAAACTTAGGAATAAATGTTCACAATGAGTATGCATTGTAATCAGTACATTGTTTTTTTATTTTATGATTTGTGACTTTTTCAAATATAGACCACACATAAAACACATAAGCACACTTTTTTCTTTACTGGTCAGTGTCAGTTTTCAAGGTGTTAAGGCCCATTCACTCCATTCATGTGGGTATCCTCCGGGTGCTCCAGTGTCCCCCACAGTCCAAACTCAAAGACATGGGGTACAGGTGAATTGAATAAGCTAAACTGGCCGTAGTGTATGTGTGTGAATGCAAGAGTGTATGGGTGTTTCCCAGGGTTTGGTTGCGGCTGGAAGGGCATCTGCTGCGTAAAACATGTGCTGAATAAGTTGCCGATTCATCCTGTGGGAAATCTTTTTTTTTTTTTTTTGTACTTTTAATAAAGGGATAAAGCCAAAAAGAAAATGAATGAATAAAAGAGAAAGTGATGATCATGCACTTGATTTGCACTTGGACTGATGCAGCTACAGTGATCTGTTACAAGATAATAAAGAGCAAAGAATGTCACTACTTCTAACATTTCACTAATTAAGTTAGTTTAATAGCTAAAACTCTGTGAAATACTTGGGACCAAACGGCACGTCCTGTAATTTTTTTTTCTGGTACTTTTAGCCTAAAGATGTTTTGTAAAAATGATCACTAATATCACTCATAAATGTAAACAAGAAAAAGCTCATGGTTTTTCAATATTTGAAATGAGTTTCAGGCCTGGTTTCACACCTGTTGTGTAAATGTTTCATATTTGCTTAATTTATGATACAGAATAGATGACATCCCACATCCCTAAATATTATTGTCTGCAGCAGTTTGTCTCAATCACCTCACTAAGCACCAGGACACAATTTTAAACAGATTTCAAAGAATAATCTGTGGTCAAAGGTTTTTTTTTTATTATCTGAAAATAGTTAATAACATGTAGTCAGCAAGACATACTAAATTTTGCTTTTAGAGTTGTATTTTTGGATTTAACGTATGTGAAAATAACGTATACTGAAATTTCAGAATTAATATAGACCACAGCAAAAACAGATGAGTTTTTAAAGTTTATTGCCATTCTTTCACTGTACAAGGCCTGGGTAAACTTTTTAGAAGGTTCCCAAGAATCTTTATGAAACATTAAACCTTTAAGAATCTTTGCATTAACGAAGATCCAAGCTGATGTTTCTTATTTTAATTTATGCCTCAAAACATCTCAATGATACATAAGCAAAACCTGGATATATGAGGTAATGTAAAGTTCAAATTTTACATAATTAAAACATTTTTGATACTTTACACTACTTTTATACTCTATACTGTACAACTTTCTAACTATGAAGCACTTGAAAATATCACTGGGAGAACATTCATTTATTTAAGGTCATATATTACATAATTGCTTAAAGTGAGACGTTTTTTTCATTGTATCAGATGTGGTAGAAATATAGTGAGGGGTCTTTGAATTTTGATTTTGACCATGAAGGGTCTTGAGGTAACAAAACAATGTTGAGAACATGCAGCACTAGGTGGCACAGTGAGCTCTCTCTTCATTCTGTCTCAGCAGTCTCTGGATAAGCAGTTTATCATTAACTGAAAACTGAAGTAAATAGTTCAGGTGGCTTGAGCTGACAGATGAGAGATCGATCATGATGGTTTCGCATGGTTTATTCTGGACACTGTGGATGGTGGCCTGTTTTGGTGAGTCCTTTAACAAATTACGAATGTTGAGGATTGTTTTTCTATTTAAAGAAACTAAAGGTCTTAGTTCAGTCTTTTTATGTTTACATACTAATGATAAAGCCTAACTGTGCATATCATTGCATATGATTGTTTTTCTTACTTGTCTTCTCTATTTATTTTAATTTTATTCCTGTATTTTTTTTCATTTTTTTACACAGAACAATGTTTGGGCCAAGATCTTCAGTTTCCTGAGCTGAATAATGGAGCAGTAGGAGGAAGTGTAAAGTTCACCCCTAATAATCCACCATCAACAGCGATCAACCAATTTACCTGGCAGTTTGAAACAATTCTTATATTGACTGGAAAGCCTGATTCACCCACAGTATCCTCAGAATATCAAGACAGAGTCTTTTTGGACAAAAACACACTCGCTCTGGAACTCTGGAATCTGACTTTCAGGGATTCAGGATCATACAATCTGTCTGTGAATACTGTTAATGGCGATGAAATTAGAGAACAAACTTCACTACAGGTGTATGGTGAGTGTGTTGCTTGTGATTGCCACAAACCATTTGATTTAAAAAAAACTTATCGGTAACAGTTTACAATGAATACATGAATAATGATATATTATAATGTAAACTAATCATTAGTTTATTACGAAGTAATGATGAGTTAAGGTCTGCACTAATCATGAATTACCTTTAACTATAACATAATTTACATGAGTTCATGTGTAAATAACATGTTGTTAATTAATGTATTAATTATCATTTAAGTTTAAGCTAAATGTAACCAACATGAACTCATGAGCTGGTAATGTATAGTTATATCATGACTTTACTTGGAGGGGCACATCACTATTAACTCATCCTTAACTACTCATGAACTCCTGTTCATGTTGATGTTGACAGAATACTTATCTGGTGTTATTCAGTGTAAACTCACTAGCTGGACGTGCATAAGGAGTTCATGAGTAGTTAAGAATGGGTTAATGATGATGGCCCCTCCAAGTAAAGTCACAACATAATTATACATTAACATACCATGAGTTCATCATGGTTAAATTAAGCATAATGTGGTAATTAATACAATAATTAACAAACAATCATGTACTAACAAGTAATTAAGGTAGCCATCATTCACACTAGAACTCATGTGACTCATGTTGAAGTTAAAGTTAGTTATTTATTAGTGCGCACCTTAACTCATCATTAATTCATAATAAAGTAGTGTTTAGTTTACATATTAATACATAATTATTTATGTACTGTAATTGTAAAGTGTTACCAACTTATCTCTATGAGTACTGTGAACTTATTCCATTTAAGTTGAAGCAATGAGGCATTTAATTAACTCATAACCTTTAACACTGAGTTCAGAACTCTTTTCAAATAAGTACAATTAACTTTCAGTCAATTTTGAGTTAACCACACTCATTTCATTTGATAAAGATGACTGTTCACAGTGAATAAAATTGTATTTAAATTTATTTTTTATTTACTATGTCTCAAATGTAATTTAACTAATTGACTCAATATTACTTAAATTCAAATATATCCTAATGCAAATACTACTAACTTAAAAACTCTTTATTTTTGAGTCAAACTGGGTCTTTAGCTTCTAACTTTTAGCTTTATTTTAAAATATTTAAACGCATAAAAATGTCATACATGCTATCTAATGTCTTTTATTTCGTACACAATCATTGCTTTTTAAGTATCTGCAACTGTCTTGATAAATGTCACATACCTTAGTTAAAAATATAATTGTGAAAATTCTGGAAAGTTTTTGCAGACAAAAAAAAAACTTTTTTTCAACAGTTTATCTGAACTGATTTACAAAACCAAAATAATGTAATTTAAGGCAGGGACTTTATGAAGAAGTGTTATTAAATTACCTAAATTACTATTAAAAAATAAAAAGTAATCCCTTACTTTACTTGTTCAGCAAACAAGTCATTTAATCACAGTAATTAATCTCTTTGTAGTTGTTT